AGCTTCTATCCGATAGACATTTTTTTATTCAGGTATAACCGAAGAGATCGACACCGCTATAAAGAGTCAGATAAGTGGTAAAACATGCCAGCCCCACGTCTATATATTTGTTGAATTTACGACCCATTATTGATTTTCTTAGTCGTGTAGCAATTACGTAGTTACTCATTGAATATTTTATTTCGCATTATTCGCATTATGATTCTCGTTATTAAATGTTACCAAACAATTTCAAGGATCAAGTTATAACCGTTTTGACTTTTGAAACGTTAGATAACGTTAAAAGATGTTAAACTGTTACAATATAAAACATATCCTCAACAAGTTGCTTTTTCGTCAATAATTTATTCACTGTTCAAAAGGCAGATAATAAAAATCGATTATTTTTCTGTAGCATGTGACACTTATTACACTTACACATATGGATTAATACATCTTACGAGAGCAATAATTCTCGAAGCAATATCTAAAACTTAAATAAAAAAAATATTTACTTTTTTGTGTGTAAACATCGCGCAATCTTGAAATTAAAAAAATGTCCTAATCAAAGAAAACAAATTCATTCAATTTGCTATGATTTTGAAATCTTAATATCAAGAACAAATAAGAAAAGTAAATCGGTTCTAGTTCTCACTATTTATAGCACATGTGAATATATACATGTATAGTAATGAAATTTTTTAAGTTATGTAGATTGTCCCAAAATTTGCAACTCAAAATACTATGGTAACAGTTTTAAAAAAATTAAATATTTTTAATAGCGCTTTTCATAAGGCAGAACTAGTATGCATTTAGTGCACTTTAAAGGCGTTTACACAAATCGATGTAAAAATGTATATGTTTAATAAAAATGATAGAAATGAATTAAACCGCGAAATATTCAATACATTTTATTATACTATTTGATAAAATACACATTAGGCATTTTATCAATTAAGATATCTCATTTTTACATTTAGATTAGAATAATGTAAACAGTTTTAATGAACAGTACTGAGTACACTTCCAATAAAAAAACGCTATAAGTAACAATTTTTGAGATATAAGAGTTTAAATATGGCTAATTACAGATTACGTTTAGATAAGGTGACTTGTAAGTATCATAAATGCGCTGAAATTCGCATTCACTAACGCTCATTAATCTATCACACGCGTGACATGGACAGGTGACCATCTAACTTTTCTAAACGTAGTCTTAACTAACTAACTGATCATATTTAAATCTTTATTACTCTCGAAATCTGAATCAATGGATCGTCACTAATTATCCAGTAGCATACTTTGCATTGATAATCAGTGAAGTTCAATTAAAAAAAGAAGAATGTTTGAGCATTATATAACTAAAATAAAACTGATATTTATTAATTTCAATCTTCCAATACCATATTCATCGAATTTAAGCACTAAACAGTTGTAAACAAGTTTAGTTCATCAAGTTTAGATCACACAATAAAGATTAGCTAGATTAGGGATCTCATATTTAATTCACTGATACCAGTGGTATAGTTGGCACTGATATCAGTGATTATCCACTGATTCAGATTTAAAGAGTATCTAAAAAAATTATCTAGAATAAAAATTTAAAAATAATTTTTTACTTAATTTTGTTAGATATCATATTAGTTAAGTCGCGAATTCTGGGAGACTGTACTTTAAACTGATTTTGATAATAAAATTAAACTTTCTATCATGTCATTTTTGTATTTTTCGTGCAAAAATTCAATGTTCTTTTTTTACAAATTAAATGTTCTTTTTTTCTTGTTGTTATTTTCTTTATTATTTAATTGTCATATCTCTCGATAAATCTTTCGTCTTTAATAGTAAAGAGAGTAGTCAAGAAAATCTCTGTTGCGGTTATTGAACGAAAAGAAAAGCTTCAAAGAGAGCATCGCGCT